AACAGTGTACTGGGTGGGTGAAGAGGAGAGGAGAAGAGGAGAGGAGAGGAGAGGAGAGGAATGATGATGATAATGATGATGATGACGATGATGACGATGATGACGATGATGATGGTGATGATGATGATGGCAGGAGGGAGGGGGCAGCGGGAGGAGGAGGAGTGAACGCGGGGCGCTGTCTCTTCAAAACGAGGACCCAACACCACAGGATGGTTGGAAAAACAAATAAAAAAACTGTGGTTTTGTGAAGAGTTCGCGAGAGCGCGCGCGCAAACTTTTTTGTTGAACTGGGTTGCATGTTTTTGGGACACTCGATTTTGAAACCCTTACGAAACCTAAGATGTTTGAAAGATTTCGACACGCGAGCGCGACAACGCGCGCGTATGCACTTCGCCTCATGTTTTTTTAAACAAAAATGTTCGTGTGGTGCGTGCTGTGTGTGTGATGTATGCTTCGTGTGGTGCGTGCTTTTTGCGTGTTGTAGGTGTTGTGTGTGTGTTATGTTTGTCTAGCGTGTGATGTGTTGGGCGTGATTTGTGTCTCTGTGTGTGCATGTAGTTCTGAAGCCCCAGGAGGCCCCAGGAGGCCCCAGGCGGCCTCAGCAGGCCCAGGAGAACTCCAGGAGGCTCCGAGGCGGGGTCTGGGGTACCAGAAGGTCCAGAAAGCCCCAGGAGGCCCCAGGAGGTTCCAGGAGGCCCCCAGGAGGCTCCGAGGAGGGGTCTGGGGCTCGATTTTGGGAGGATGTCTCAGGCGAAACCGCCATTCTCTGAGAATCGGAGTCAAAATCATTGAAATTACCATGTGTTTTTGAAGGTTTTATGATAAAATGTTGGAAATCCTATGTGTTTTTGGACCCTGACGTCACGATCTGCGTGAGGGGTGCCACCGATTTTCAGAATTTCGAGGATGTCCCGAGCGAAACGGCCAGAAACATCGCGAACGACGGACGCATTAATCGCATCTGAGCTCTATTCCCTCGGAGAGGTGCGTATGAGAATACATATATATTCTCATACGCACCTCTCCAAGGGAGTAGAGCTCAGAGGCGATTAATGCGCACGCGTCCGCGATTTTTCTGGGCGTTTCGCTCGGGACATCCTCGAAATTCTGAAAACCTGTGGCACCCCTCACGCAGATCGCGACGTCAGGGTCCAACAACACATGGGAACTTCAACATTTTAACATAAAACCTTCAAACACACATGGTAATTTCAATAATTGTGACCCCGATTCTCAGTGAATGGCTGTTTTGCTTGAAAAATCCTTCCAACATCGAGCCCCAGACCCCGCCTCGGAGCCTCCTGGGGGCCTCCTGGAACCTCCTGGGGCCTCCTGGGCCTTCTGAACCTTCTGGCACCCCAGACCCCGCCTCGGAGCCTCCTGGGGGTGTCCTGAAACCTCCTGGGGCCTCCTGGGGCCTCCTGCGGCCTCCTGGAGCCTCTTGGGGCCTCCTGAAGCCTCCTGGGGTCTCCTGGGGCCTCCTGAGGCCGCCTGGGGCTTCCTGGGGCCTCCTGGGGCTTCAGAACTACATGCACACAGAGACACAAATCACGCCCAACACATCACACGCTAGACAAACATAACACACACACACAACACCTACAACACACAAAAAGCACGCACCACACGAAGCATACATCACAAACACACACACACACACACACACACACACACACACACACACACACGCACAACACTCACAATCCTGGGGCCTCCTGGAGCCTCTTCTGGTATCCAAGTCGGGCCTCCTAAGGCTTCCTGGGGGCCCTGGTACACACATCGCAAGGTGTGGCAACCCCACTTGCGCTCGAGTGCGACTTCGATGTTGCATTTCACTCCTGCTTCAAACGCCCCTTCAGTTTTTTGTATGAGCCTGGGCACACACGTGCCACTTGTGTGTATATATATATATATATATGTGTGTGTGGGTGTCTGATATCAAAAGATGGCGGGCGGGGCGACACCGGCCACTCTGGGATGTTGCGAAATCATCTTTAGAATGGACGATAGGGCAGAATCACGTGCAAATTACAATGCGAAAAGGGTATGGGATAATCCCGCGGGGGGGAAGTCTATTTCTTCTCATTTTAGAAAAGAGAACCCACGCGGTGCACTCTATGTGGTGCAATTTTGCTAGGCGGCCAAAACGGTGACGAGACGGCGCCAGAGCGGCGACGGCGGCCACATACCCGCCAGACCGAAGGCACGGCCCAGATGACAGGCGGCGACGAAGCGACGCCGGAGCGGCGACGGCGGCCACATAGCCGCCAGACCGAAAGCACGGCCCAGACGACGGGCGTCGACGAAGCGACGATGGGGCAGCGACGGCGGCGGCGACGAAGCGACGATGGGGCCGCGACGGCGGCCACGTACCCGCCAGACCGAGACACGGCCCAGACGACGGGCGGCGACGAAGCGACGATGGGGCGGCGACGGCGGCCACATAGCCGCCAGACCGAAGACACGGCCCAGACGACGGGCGGCGACGAAGCGACGATGGGGCGGCGACGGCGGCCACATAGCCGCCAGACCGAGGACACGGCCTTTTTCCTTTGAGCAGAAGTAAGAACCCCTAAGTGCAAACACTGTTTGGGAGTAGTTCGTCCCAGACGTGTCGCTAGGGCGCTCGGGGCGCTTCGCCTGAGAACTGCTCACCGCTTCTGGTCCTGAAGCTTGAACATTGCGGCAGTTTCACGGCTGGAGGGCGGGTCCTTTCCAAAATATGGTTCTCGCCTCAGCGCCAGGCACATCCGTCTTAGAATTCGGGCTCAGTGGCCTAGCGACATTCTTCTTTCATCTTTCAAAAACCTCTTCCCTTCGGGGAGGGGCACCCTCCCCCTCCAGACGGCTTCCAACATGCCTGCGAGAGGGTTCAAGAGGGCCATAAGACGGTTCCAAATGCTTTCGAAGCCCCCTCGTGGACCACCCAAGAAGCCAAAACCATTCAACAACCCAAGGAACATCCATGAATGTTGCCGTCTCGCCTTTTCGCTTCCGATGCGCTGTTGAGGCCCGAAGAAGGCCCCAAGATGGCCCACGAGAGCCCCAAGATGGGCCCAAGAGGCCCCCAAGACTGCCCCAAGAGCGCCCAAGATCACCCCAAGAGCGCCCCGAGAGGGCCAGAAGGGGCGATTTCGTGGGCCCCCGAAGGGGAGGCTAAACGTTAGGACCCCTCCCTTTTCACCGACGCCCTCGACGATGGCCCCAAGAGGCCCTGCAGGGGGGGCCTGGGGCCCCCCAACAGAACTCCAAGAGGACCCCGAGACCCTTAGAAGAGCCCCTAGAGAGCACAGAGGTAGCCCTACGTTTAGGTCGGGCGTGTCCCACTACAGGCAGTCCCACTACAGGCAGGTTTTAGGTCAGGCGTGTCCCACTACAGGCGTGTCCCACTACAGGCGAACATACCCCAAAAATATTCAAAAATGATGGAAAAGTAACGTCCCCTGACTATTTTTTCCTGTTTTGAAATACTTCCCCCGTAGAGGGACAGGCCCGATTTGACCCTACGTAAGAGGACCCCGAGAAGGCCCAATAATATTCCCACCCGTCCCACACTCGCGCCTCTACGCTGCTACCCGCGCGCACACACACACACACTAACACACGTCCGTCATGTTTGCCCGCTCTGCTTGACTATTTGTTTCTCTCCCTCCCGTTTCCCATCAGCTCTCATAGGTAGCGTCTCTGAATGGGCTGGTTCGGATACGCCAAGCGTGATGAATTTCAAAATTAGCCTGGCGAAAAACCCAATCAGATACAATAGTGAGTACCGCAATTGTGGGTATCGTCTTCCGTGGAGCTCCGTCTGGGGCCACGAAACGCTGCACTGGGCGGGTGAACCGCATGCGGACTGCGCCACTGGGGCCGTCGGTGGAGCTCCCTCTGGGGCCACGGAACGCTGTACAAGGGCGGGGAAACCGCATGCGGACTGCGCCACTGGGACCTTCGGTAAAGCTCCCCCTAGGGCCACGAAACTCTGTACTGGGCGGGGGAGCCGCATGCGGACTGCGCCACTGGGACCTTCGGTGGAGCTCCCCCTGGGGCCACGAAGCGCTGTACTGGGTGAGGGAGCCGCATGCGGACTGCGCCACTGGGACCTTCGGTGGAGCTCCCCCTGGGGCCACGAAGCGCTGTACTGGGTGAGGGAACCGCATGCGAACTGCGCCACTGGGGACTTCGGTGGAGCTTCCTCTGGGGCCCCGAAGCGCTGTAGCGGGAGGGGGAACCGCATGCGGACTGCACCCTTCGGTGGAGCACGACACGTGTGAGGGGTGTGCCAAAGTGAGGGGGTGACGGGAGGAGACACTGTCTCTTCAAAACGGAGACCCAACACCACAGGATGGTTGGGAAGTAGAAAGCATGCCCTTTTTTCAAACTGTGGCACCCGCCTTAGCGCCACGCACATTGTTTGTTCTTTAAGACAAGAAAGTTGCAACAGTTTCAATGGTGGAGGGCGGTGCGTTTCCAATATGTGGCTCTCGCCTTGGCGCCGCGCACACTCGCCTGTAAAATCCTGCTGCTGTTTCAAAGATTCGTATTGCTGAGGTCCGACATATGGCGTTCTGGTACGCGTTAAGACAGTCAGGACGCACTAGTCACGATGGTTCGCAACGCTGAAATCGCAGGAATGGCTTTCTGGCACGATTCAATATCGCCAAGACGCCACAGTCGCGTTGATTCGAGGCGGTGAAGTCCCAGGAATGGTGCACGGGCACGGTTTCTTGTAGTACTGTCAGGACGCGATGTGGATTATCGAACGGCTGCCTTCCTATGGGGCATCTCCCGCAATGAAACTACAGTCTCGTAGGGAACCATGAAGAGGAAACTGAGAGCAAGGGCTCATACATCCTCATTGATGCACTTTGGACTCCCACTGGTCCTCCTCCTCATCATCATCCTCTCCCTCTTCCTCCTCCTCCTCATCGTCCTCCTCCTCCTCTTCCTACTCCTCCTCCCCCTTTTCATCCTCATCATCGTCCTCCTCGACCACTCCCCAGGGCCTCGTCCATTTTCGCCAGCATGCCCGCCACCACGAGCACCGCCGTCGGGACGGGAGTCAGCGGGTTGACCTGCGGCTCCTCCCTTCTCCCTCCCTCCTCCCTCCTCCCTTCTCCCTCCTCCCTCCTTCCTCCCTCCTCCCTCCTCCCTCCTCCCTCCTCCCCCCTTCCTCCTCCCTCCTCCCTCCTCCCTCCTCCTTCCTCCCTCATCCCTCATCCCTCCCTCCCTCCATCCCCATCCCCCTCCTCCTCCCTCCTCCTCCTCCTTCCTCCCTTCTCCCTCCCCTCTCTTCTCCCTCCCTCATCTCTCCGCCCTCCTCCTCCTCCCTCCGCCCTCCTCCTTCTTCCCTCCTCCCTCCGCCTCCTCCTCCTCTGCCTCCCTCCTCCCTCCTCATTCCTCCCTCCTCCCTCCTCCCTCCCTCCCCCCTCCCTCCTCCCTCCCTCCTCCCTCCTCCCTCCTCCCTCCTCCCCCTCCTCGTCTTCTTATTATCCGTGTTACTAGTCTGATTCGTTTTATTCGCATTCGCAATATGATTGTTTGGAATTGACTATGTTATGATCATTAATAATATGTAGCATTGCTGTTGTTATCATTAATATGAATGATAGTAGTATGATTCCTTTTAGTATGAGTAATATTGTTACCAGTCGTATGATTCGTGTTGGTACTAATATCGTGCAGTATTACTGAAAAATGACTATGTCTCTTAGTATTATCCGTATTAGTAGTAGGTGTTCGTCCTAGCTGTAGTCTTAATACTCGTTTTATTACTACTATTATTATTATTAAGATTAACATGTTCCTTAGTCTTAGTAGTATGATTATTCTTATGTGTGCTAACAGTATCACTATTACTACTAAAATCATTACGCTTAGTCGTAGTATTCTTCTTAGTGCTATTACTGCCCGTCTTAGTCGTCGGTTTCCCTTTATTCGTCTTCTGTTTCTTCTTAGTATTGGTAAACTTCTGACTCGTATTGGTATTTTCATTACTATTACTATGGTTATGGATTATTCACATTGGTCTTATCATTATGTTTATTATTCCTGATACCAGTATTAGTATTATTACTACTCTTACCAGTAGCTTTCGTATTGTTAGTCTTCTTATTATTAATTGTATTCCTCCTCCTCCTGCTCCTCCTCATCCATGCTCCTCCTCATTCTCCTCCTTCTCCTCCTCCCTGCTCCTCCTCCTCCTCCTCCTCTTCCTCCTCCTTCTCCTCCCCCTCCCCCTCCCCCTCCTCCTCCTCCTCCTCCTCCTCCTCCTCCTTCTCATTGCATCGACCCTGCGGTGCGACGTCACACAACAGATTGTTCCAACATCGAGTATGATCGACCCGTGAGGGTCCCAGAGCCAGAAACAAGGCAGCATCGCCCGAGGTAGAAAAAGGAGGCGCCAGGATTCCACTGTGTTTGGTTAGCTGGAGTAGACAGCAAGGAGGAGGAGGAGGAGGAGGAGGAGGGGGAGGAAGAAGGCCTGAATGAAGATCAGGCCCAGCGCGCCCCAACTCTTCGCCCACTCCTCGCTGGATGGGGCCGGGCGCCGAGGCGGTGCGATCAGGCTCACGCGCGCGCATCCCCATGCAGCCATCATCTTGCCGCCCGCCTCGTCCAGCCCCCCAGCCTTCCCATCGCTCTTCCTCCTCTTCCTCCCTCCTCCTCTCTCGCCCCTCGTCCACACCCCCTCCCCTCCCCCGTCTTCCCATATTCTCCCACCTCCCTCCCCCTTCTTGCCTCCTGTTATCCCTCATTCCTCAGCCTGGCCGCTTCCTCCACGATTGACCACATGAATAATATCAGTCTCCTCTCGCCCCCGAGGACGTGTTGAGAATATCGCACCCCCTCCGCGTTCTGGTCGTTGCATACAGGATTCAGGAAAACATGAAATTTCGTGGGCTCCATTTCCGTGTATTCGGTCCTTCAATGTGGTGTTCCAGCTGCAGCACTGGCCTTAATTCTGGGTGTTCGGTCTTTCTCAGTGGCGCTCCCGCTGTAGCGGTGGCCTGTTTCCACCTCTTCAGTCATTAGGCGTAGGGTTCCCGCTGCAGCGTTTTGTCTCGTTTCCGCGTGTCTTTCTCAAAGGTGCTCCTCCTCCTCCTCCCCCTCCTCCTCCCCATCCTCCTTATCCTCCCCATCCTCCTTATCATCCTCCTCCTCCTCCTCCTCCTCCTCCTCCTCCTCCCTCCTCCTCCTCCTCCTCCTCCTCCTCCTCCTCTCCTCCTCCACTCCCCCTATCCTCCCTCCTCCTCCCCTCATCCTCCTTATCCTCCTCCTCCTCCTCCCTCCTCCCTCCTCCTCCTCCTCTCCTCCTCCTCCTCTCTCCTCCTCCTCCTCCTCCTCCCTCCTCCTCCTCCTCCTCCTCCTCCTCCTCCTCCTCCTCCTCCTCCTCCTCCTCCTACTCCTACTCCTCCTCCTCCTCCTCCTCCTCCTGGTAGGCCCCCGACAGCAAAGCCGCACCTTCCTGGGCGGGACATTGAAGATCGGGCCCCCATCGGCGATAACCAGACGAATTAGGGGCTCGATGCATTCCCTCCGAGCCTGTCCCCCCCCCCCACAACGTTGCCCCCCTCGCGCGCTCCGACCGCGCCCGCCCGATCGCCCCACCCGAGAGCGGCACGGCAGGTTCGTGTCGTGAGGAGTTCGGCGTTGGCTTCTGACACCGCGCGGACCGTTCAGCCCTGAGCGACCGGCGGCTCTCCGATCGCCAGATCGCGCTACACTGGCTGGGCCGATGGCGGCTTTTCGATCGCCACACCGTTCCGTCTTGGCCGATTCTGGGGCGACTGGCGGCGGACCACCTTGAGTGCGCACGGCGGGGTCGCCGCCGCTCCGTCGCGACGCGAACCTGCCGTCACCCCCCCCACACCCCGTCCCTGGCGCGCGGCGCGCGCCAGGGACGGCGCCAGGGGAGCCGCCGGGGAGGCCCAGCGCCGATCCAGAGGACCCGCGCAAAACCCCCCCGCGGGCTCCTGCCCCTTCTCGGCGGCGCGCGCGCGCGCGCCCGCGGGGAAGGCTCCGAGGGCGGGGCGCCTTCGCAGAGGGTTCCGAGGGGCCCCCTGCCCTGCGAGCATCTTCCGCCCTCGCCGAAGCCGCCGAGGGCTCCTCGGCAGGCGTGCCCCCCCTCGGTTCCCCCGCGGGGCGCGCCGCCGATGCTCCTCGACTGCATCGAATCCCGTCGGTGCTCCCGGGAGCGTGTGCTGGCGCCAGCGTGTGCTTGTCCGCCGAAGCCCTGCAGCCCGACGCAGGCAGTGGAATAGGGGCCGACGCGAGCTGCGCGCTGTCGGCGGAGCCGAACGGTGCAAACACACACGCAGACACACACACACACACACACACGCACACACACACACACACGCACACACACACCCACGCACGCACGCACGCACGCACGCACGCACGCACGCACGCACGCACGCACTCACACACACACACACCACACACACCACACACACACGACACACCACACACGCACACTCACACACGCACGCACGCACGCCCCACAGAGATACACACGCACGCACAGCACACATACACAACAAACACAACCCCACGGACACATATCAACGCACCAACTCACGCACGCGCACTGCACACTCCCTAGCACATAGACACAGTACACAGACACAGACAACACACAGACCCACAAGACACACCAACACACAGGCACACACACACACCACACACCCACACCACGCCACGCACACGCACCTCACATCGCACAGCTTCCGCACATCGCGCACAGCACGCACAGCAAGCACACCACAGTGATACCACACGCAACGCCCACACACGCACGCACGCACGCACGCACGCACGCACGCACGCACGCACGCACACACCACCCCACCACACACCATCACCCACACACACAAACAACACAAAGCAAACACACACGCACGTGCACGCCGCATGCATGCACGCACCCCACGCACGCACGCACTCACACACAGAGATACCACACAGGACACGCAAACACACGCCGCACGCACGCGCACACGCACAACGTACACGCACGAACACACCCACACACAACCACACGCAACCGCCACGCACGCACGGCACGCACGCACCCGCGGCACTCACATCACAACACCCACACACACACCACACATATACACACACGCACGCACACACGCACGCACGCACGCGCACGCACACGTACACGCACACACACACACACACACATACACACACACACACACACACACACACACACACGCGCACACACATGTTTTGCGTGGGCGGCTGGGCAGAGGTTACTGCTCCAGCGATGTAGCATTCACACACACACACACACACACACACTGGCACACACACACGCATACACACACTCTCTCACACACACACGTGCACACATATGCATAACGAAAACGCAAGCACACACACACACACACACACACGGACACGCACACAGAGACACACACACACATACACCCACCCAACCACCCACCCACCCACCCACCCACCCACACACACACACACACGCGTATACTTTTTGGCGTCGCGGCTCTGCGCGCAGCGACAGGGCGGAAGAGGTGGAAAAGCAGCAAGCAAGCAAGCAAGCAAACAGGCAAGCGGGCAAATGCGCCCGAGCCCTCAGAGACCGCGTAGAACACAGACACACACACACACACACACACACACACACACACACACACGCGCACACACACGCACACGCACACACACACGCACACTCTCACTCTCTCACACACACACACTGGGCTAAGACGCCTTCTGAGGATCATCGATCCCAGGCCCCACCTGCAGCGAGGCGTTGGGCGCCTGGCCAGCCGCGAGGGGGGCGTCGCCACGGGGCGGAGCGCTGCGCGTCTCCTGCGCCTGCGCCAGGAACTTCGAGTCTTTTGCCCCAGTCCTCTCCAGGAGGGCGTCCGCGCCGGAGGTCTTCATAACCTGGAGGCGCATCAAAACAAGACGAGGGCATACATAGCGAGCAGAACAAAAACACCTTCATCAGAAGCACTCCAACATGCAAAGGCGTCCGGTAGACGCAACCAAAAAAGGAATCGAACAGGATTGGTCTGTGTAGTAAACGCCCAAAGTCGTTGAACTAACGCCAACTATTGGGGTCGGAATGAGCAGCCTCTCGGAGGTCCGCGCGAATTTCTGGGACCAGCGCTAGGCCCTCGGCCCTCCTGGCGGCACCTCTGTCACCGCCCCTGGTGCGCTCCGGGCGCCAGCAAGGGGGGCAAAGCGCCGATCCGATAAACCCGCGCGGACCCGCGAAAAATTATGGCTGTGCAGTTCGTTCCTCGTCGGCGGCCTGGATGTACATGATCGCGGCAATCGAGGCGCCAGCGGTGAGGCAGAGGGGGGCCACGATCACGCCCACCTTCCCGTTGGACATGCCAACAACCGTGAACAACACTGCCTGCACGATGCCCACGCACCAAATAAAGACGCCACCAGTCAGGGTGTTCAGCATGCTCACCCCAATAAGCAGAATCGGCATCCACCACTTGACCCCATACCTGGAGGCGCTGATGGCCCACTCGACCACCTCTTCCTTGTACGACGGCATTAGCCTGGGGTCGAGAAGAGGAAGAAAAAACAAAACGACGACGTCGACGGCGCCGACGTCGGCACGGACGACAACGACGACCGCACACCCCTCGGCGATGGCGGCGCCGACGACGGCGGCGGCGACGGCGGTGACCCCTGAGATCCGACGAGGCGAATGAATGTGGCACTTCTCGAGGAAGTGGCCCCAGGGCCCCAAACAGGGCAAGATCGCCCGCTGCGCAGAGAAATGCAACGCCGGGATCTCGGGGACGACGTCGGCGGCGGCGGCGACGGCGGCGACGGCGACGACGGCGGCAGCGGCGACGGAGGAGGCGGCGGCGGCGGCGGCGGGAGCGCCTGCTCGGGCGGCGGCGGCGGGCGCCTGCCTCCCCCGAGCAGGCGCGCGGCGCGCGGGCGCGTGCCGCCGCGAGAGGGGCGCAAAGGGGCCCGCGGCCCCTCGGGCCGAGAGGACGGCGCGGGTTGAAAGCGGCACGGCCGCGCTCGTCATCGCCTCCTGCTGCTGCTCGTCATCGCAACCACCGCCGTCGTCGTCACAGCCATCATCATTGTGTGAATCATCCTCATCCTCATCCTCATCCTCATCATCCTCATCATCATCATCTCATCATCCATCATCATCATCATCATCATCATCATCATCATCATCCATCATCATCTCATCATAACCTCATCATCATCATCATCATCTTTCATCCCTGAGTTCCTCATCATCATCCTCACCTCCTCCTCCTCCTCCTCCTCCTCCTCAATCATCACATCATCATCAATCATCAGCATAACAAAGCATCAGCATCAATCACATCAGCATCATCATCATCATCATCCACATCATCATCATCATCATCATCTCATCAATCATCATCATCATCATCATCTCTTTATCCTCATCCGCATCATCATCCTCAACTTCCTCCTCCTCCTCCTCCTCCTCATCATCATCATCATCATCATCAGCATCAGCATCAGGATCAGCATCATCATCATCATCATCATCATCATCATCATCATCATCATCATCATCATCATCATCATCATCAATATCATCATCATCATCATCAGCATCAGCATCAGCATCAGCATCATCATCACAACCGCAATCAACATCATCATCACCATCATCATCATCATCATCATCATCATCACCATCATCACCATCATCATCTGCATCTGCATCACCATCATCATCATGCAGCATCATCATCATCCTCGTCGGCGTCGTCGGCGTCATCATCATCGGCATCATCATCATCATCATCATCATCATCATCATCATCATCATCATCATCATCATCAACATCCTCATCGTCATCGTCCTTCTCCTCATCTTCACCCTCATCCTCATCCTCCTCCTAATCATCATCATCATCCTCATCATCAGCCTCATCCTCTTCGGCAGCAACAGCAGAAGCATCAGCACAGTCATCATCATCAGCATCGTCATCATCAGCATCGTCATCATCAACAGTATCAGCATCATCAACATGATGAGTATCATCCTTCTTCTCCTCCTCAGCATCATTATCAGCATCATCATCAACATCATCATCATCGTCGTCATCATTATCATCAGCATCACCATTAGCATCAACATCGTCCTCACCATCGTCATTACCATCAGCATCATCATCATCAGCAGGAGCAGCATCATCATCATCATCATCATCAGCATCAGCATCATCATCATAATCATCAGTATCATCATCAGCATCATCATCGTCATCATCATATTTATCATCAGCTTCATCAGCATCAGCATCATCAGCATCGTCATCATCAGCATCATCATCTGCATCATCATAATGATCAGACTGATGATGATCAGCATCAGCAGCATCATCGCCGTCTCCTTCATTTGTTTATATATATATATATATATAGATCATAACGACCATCCTCTGCAGCAGCATCAACACGATCAGGATCAGCATCAACAACATCAACCTTACCTCTTTGCACATAATCAGCATCATCAGCATCACAAATAATACATCGATCGAGCTTTCAATCAACCATCTATCCAGAACGAAGCATCCTCATCACCACCAACATCATCACTTCAGTCGTCCTAATCGTAAGTACCACCACAACTTCCATCATCATCGTCATCATCTTCGTCAGTATCGTCATCATCGGCGTCATCGTCATCATTATCACCATCGTCCCCATCCTCATCATCACCACCATCATTATCATCATCCTCATCATCGCTATCATACTCAACGTCTGCAACGGCATTGAAGAAACGAGCCTGAGTTGTCCGGCTGCCAGGTCTGATGTAGTCAAACCACCGTGCCGTAAGCACTCAGCAAACTATCCTTGGCTCCCCCCAGGTTCCCTGTGTTGAGTGTGGCTCATACCCCTCAAGGACGGGTCGTAAACAAAGGGTGGCTCTTGCTTTAGCGCCCAGTACACTCGTCTTTAAAGCCTGCACCAATTACAATGACGGACGGCGGGCCGTTGTCTAAATAACGCTCTCACCTGAAAGCCGCGCACATTCGTCTGAAAAGCGAGCACTAATTATGTAAAAGGATGGCAGCTTATTTTCAAAATAAGGCTCTCGCCGCAGCGCCGCGCGCATTCGTACTTCAAGCTTGCAACAGCTATCAGGATAGCGAGAGGACGGCTCCTTTTCAAATTAGGGCTCACCTGAGACTGCCTCAAGCATCAACAGGTGCACAATCGCGTGAACGCTGCACGGGTGCTCTGCCCTGAGACTCCATCGACCACACACAACGAGCGTAAAGGTTGTGCAGCAGGCGCACGGATTCAGGGGGGTGCGCCTCTTCGGAGCGGAGCGCTGCTCGCCAGGGCAGTTCGTCACACGGAACGGCCAGAAGCTCGCACGGGAACGAGCTCTGCGCGGGCGGAGGGCGGTTCCCATGCAAGGGGAGGGGCTCGCGCCGGAGACTTCCCCGATCCGAGCGGCTAGAGCTGTGGCGTGCCCAGCGGTCACTTCCACGGACGGGGGGCGGCTCCCGCTCGAACCGGGGGGGTCCTGCTGGACACCTCTCGTTGGGCCTTCTGACGACGGAAGAAGCGGAGAAGGAGGAGGAGGCGCAGGAGGGGGTGGAGGAGGAGGGGGTGGAGGAGGAGAGGGTGGAGGAGGAGGAGAAGGAAGAGGAGGGCAAGGAGGAGGCGAAGGCGAAGGAGGAGAAGGAAGAGGAGAGGGAAGAGGAGAAGGAAGGGGAGGCAGTCCTCTCCTCCTGCCCTGTCGCTGTCCTGGAAGCTCGCTGGAAGGATGCAAAGAGCGGCTCCTCTGCAGGCACGCAGGGGGGCTCGTCTTGCGACGGGGTCGCTGCTTGCAGTGCAGGGGCTCCTCTTGGCCCATCTTGGCCCATCTTGAGTTTACTAGGTTCCTCCTCCCCCTATTCCTTATTCTCTACGTTGGACGAAAGTTGGCGTGCTAGAGACTTCGCATCTTGGTGGCAGCGATGCGAGAAAAACTGTCAGCGGCGCAGCGATCAACTGAATGAAGGTCAGGCCCCTGTGAAGTATCCTCTTACTCCTCCTCTTTTTCCTCTCTCTTCCTATCCCACGTGTTCTCCGAGGGGGTTCCACAACAGCTGGTGTGGCATACAGCTCGATAGCCTTGACCAGACGTTGGTCCAACGCTTAGACACATAGGCGCTTCCAAAGCGGTGGTTCGCCGAAAGCGTTTCGATAAAGTACGTAAGCAAAGAGATCCGCCAGATTCCTCGGCACACTCAAGCAAACCGACTGGTCGTTCTATGTTTTCCAGGCGTCTGACAAAAAAAATGTCCAAGTAGCACTCGACAAACACATCATGAACGCGAAACCTCATGATATTGCAATACGCTGCTCCAAGACAAACTGCCTTTTGGTCAGACGGCTCACAAATACGAACAACAACCACAACAACATGCAGGTGGGCTTCCGCAACAAGCTAACGCATAACAAGAAACAACTGCATAAACATAAACTTTCGAAGCTCGGCGCAGATGTTTTTGACCGGCGCTTGGCCCGCGCTTCAGGGGCGGCGCCAAAGGCCCCACCAAAGTGGACCCACCGCAGATCCAAAACAAAAAATGCGCAGAACTCGAAAAAGTATGCTCATGCAGTTGGTCTTCTTCGACAACAGCACCGTTTTGGCCGACTGGCTCAGCACAGTGGGCGGTCAGAGAGAAGAGCAGGCTGATCGGAGACGCGGCTTGGTCGCGAGATGATCAGAAGCGCAGCTTCGTCTTCTGCGCCGTTCGCCTGCACACCTCGGCTTCTGCTGCACACCACACATGAAGGGCATCGATAGGGGGACTGGTGGAAAGGAGGCGATCAGGCCCCGATCGGCGATGAATGGGCGATTGGGGTCGATGCGTCCCCCCCCCGAGCCTAACTACCCTCCCGATCGTTGCCCCTGAAAGCAGCAGCAGCACGAGGGGAGAGAGGGAATGTCAAGAGGATGAGCACTTGCAATCTCTGCGGCCCTGAGCGGTCGCTGCCCTCCGACAGCGCAAGTCGCGCGACATCGTCCAGCTCCAAGTCGCTGGCGGTGCTCAACCTTGACCGCCCGAGCTGAGGCCGCCGCCGCGTCAGCGCGCCACGACCTCGCAGCACTCGAGATCAAACGTGCTGGGCCCGGCGGCGTCCAGGCAAGGCCCCCCGATGAAGGCACGGCCGCTGCGCACCGAGAAGCGGCAGCCCCCCAGGGGTCGCGGGGCCGCACTGTCGGAGAAAGGGTTGCAGGTAGACAAACACACATATATATATATATATATATATATATATACATATATATGCATATAAATGTATACATACATACATACATACATACATACATACATACATACATACATACATACAGACAGACAGACAGACAGACAGACAGACAGACAGACAGACAGACAGACATACATACATATATACATAAATACATACATACGTGCATGCACACATACATACATACATACATACATACATACATACATACATACATACATACATTCATACATACATACGTACATACATACATATATACATACATACATACATACATACATACATACATACATACATACATACATACATACATACATACAT